GTGTCGTGCAGTGGGGTAAGGGAGTGAAAGAAAAGTGGTTTGTCATCTAGCCTTGGATCCCTTGGTATCTCCTGTGCTGAATGACCTGTCCTAGAATAGGTTGCCAACTAATTTTTTAATGAAGTGATTTAATAAAACTAAGCAAGCAGTGAATGCTATTATTAGTCTAACCCTGTATTATCGCTGTTCCCTCGCTTCTTCTTGATTCTATCTTTGAAACTCTGGCAAGCTGCTGTAATTACCACTTTCAGACAATTTTCCACCCGCAGGTGAAAAGCAGGCTGGGAGACTACTTTCAAATCTCCTTAGCTGTACACTTAAGTCCCCATATACCCTAACGGTTTGCTCATCCTACTGTGAATTTCCTCCACTGGCAGTGTGTGTCAGTGTCTTTCCCAAAACAGATGATAAAAATTGATGTGAATAAATAGCAAAGTAGTCCTGTTACCATAGCAACCAGCCTTGTGAAATAAATCATTCCCACTCCTGTGGCTGGCCAGTTCTGAAGGGTAAATCACTTTGGAGTCAGGTGATAAGGGCTATACCACCAGCATCTCTAGTAACTGGGATAAGGGTGCTATGCTTAGTATCAGGATCTCCAGCAGAGAAATAGGACTCATGTCAGGAAACAAGGTCTTGCTAGAAAACCAGTTGGGATTCCTGGTACATACTCCCTTTATGACTCAGCTTCCTGTTGACTATCCTTACTCACTACTGGGACCCAACAGTTGGACTAAAAGAGAATGGGGGTGCTTCAAACAAGTTGCCAAGTGTTAGAGAGAAATATAGGGCTAACTAGGAAATTCTCAAAAAGGGTGGACTGGAAAAAGGAATGAAATTAGGAGCCCAGGTAGATGGTGGGAGACGGTTGTTTTCTAGTGGGTATAGCAGGGGCTTGGGAATCCAGCCTCCTACCTAGAATCACAAATACAGCCTATGTTATAATCTGTGACTCTAATCAAAACTCTTAATATCCATGGCTTGAGCTATGCCATTTATAAAATAGTTAGCATGCTCACTGGTTGTGAGGCATTTTAATTTCCTTGGATGAAGCATGTTTATATTAGAGGCAAAATTAGCTTTGCAGTTATGTTTGCTGTCAGTACTGGCAAACCAGTACAATTCTCTTGTGATTAGCTATGTGGTATTCACCCCTTTCCCCCTTCCCAGTGAAGTAAACACCTGGGAACATAGAGTTGCTTTAAGGAGAGCAGGGGTAAGATAGGAACAAATTGTTTTCTTGAGATTTTTGTTTGGAAATTTTTCAGCGAAACACGCAGTACAATCTTTTCCTTGTAGAAATCCTTGTAACACTGCCTGCAGTTTAAACCTTCTTTTAAGTTCTTGACCTGCCCCCTGCTCTTCTACCTATAAGTGAGCGTAGGCGAGCTGTTGTGGTCTAAGCTCCTCTAACCTCAAAGGTATATTAAACAAGATATAATACAAAAAACAGCCTTGCCACAGGAGGCTGGGGTAATGTCAGGGGAAGGGCGTTAAAAATAACTTAAACGTCATGTTAGTACACGTACTAAAGGAACTTCCATATAGTAATGCAGCATCAAGTTCTTGCTGTGTTGTTCCCGCTTGGGTAACAGATCGTAGCAATGCTGCAGATGGGGAAACAGGTTGGCGGGGGCTTGAGTACTTATAATCCTGGCTCTTTCTGTACCTTGCAAAAAAAAAAAACCCTGTGTGAGAAGCTAAACATAGCTCTCAGGGTCCTGAATATGACGATGCTCCACAAGGGTACAAGGAGGGGGTTAGACTCTGGCCTCTTCAGTTTTTGGCTGCCTCAGTGAGACTCCCATTAAGGGAAGTGACAGTTATCTAAAGCAGGGTTGTCCATATCTAGGGTGGCCTGTGATCCCCAGGCTCTTACCTGGCTGCTGCTGCCCCTATTGCTCTGACTACAGTAGCAGCTAGGGACCTGGGGCTCCTTCTCTCCTGCAGCAGGGCAGCGTGGTGCAGTGCAGCCTGTGGTGCCAGAGGTACTAGAAGCCCATAGTGCCCCTTCAGTATGTGGGCCTGATTCTGATCAGCTCCAGAGCCAACACATAGGGCCATGGGTGACTGGTGCCTCCTGAGTCTGGGGGGCCACCCGCAGAAGCCACCAGCAGTATCAGCAGTGGGGACAGCCTTGTCGGGGGGCACATGCCTCCCCTTCCCCCCATACCAGTCGCCTATGCACAGGGCCAATCCAGTGAGGAACCACATACAGCACACACCCTGTGCCACCCCCCTGTGCTGCATGCAATGCATGCACCAGGTCCAGCCCAGCATGCTGTGGGCAGTATACGCCAGCCCCTGCCTGGGTGCATGCAGCCCACAGGGCTGACACAGGGCATGCTCTGCATGCACTGCTTATACCTGACTGGCCTTGTATGTGGTTCTGCTTCAGCATGTGGGATCAGAGCCACTATATGCCTCATGGGATGCTTGGGGTTGCTCTAAGACCCACAGGCCGGATCCTAGATCCAGTCTGTGAGCTGCATCTTTGACACCCCTGGTTTAATAAATTGTTTGAGAAACTCTGGACTGAATCCTTCTGAAGATACAAATACATAACCTCCAAAAATCTTAGTTCTATAAATAAGCTTCCTGTGAGGAACAATAAACTTGGCTTATCTGAGCGTGCCATGTGCTATTGCATAATTATACATTAAAGGGGAAAACAGAAATTTTATGTAAACAGGCATCACCCTGGATTTAATAGTGTTGATAGTTGTTCCTGACTTATTTTTGCCTCACCTCTAATAACTGTATAGAAGTTATTTTTAGTATCATGAACAAGGTCCTATTTCAATCTGTCTCAAAAACAAGCTGAGATTTTTGGCTTCTAGAACTATAACTGTGACTTTTTTGTTGTGGCCAGTTTTTGCTTGTTTCAACCAAATTTGTTCTTAGTATGGGACAAGAGAACGAGAGATGAATCATACAGAGGTTAAACTGTTTTAAAGGCCAGAACTAGCTCATATATCCAAGCAGCCGCAAATATATGGCTGACAGTTGTCTTGCCTTTTTTTTCCCCCTCATATTTCTGGTTAAGAACTCAAATGAGTAAGTTCACACTGGCCATCCTGTAGCAGAAATGTGTTCTTCAGTTTAAGGAGAGTAACCAACCTGTCTGAGGAAAAAAAATAGTGATTTATGCCTGTAGTGGCAATAAAGTAAATAGCTTTTGTCTCTGCAGTTAGCAGCACCAAATTACGTGAGTTATATAACTTAAACTATCCTTTCTTTTAACAAAAGATTATTGCCAATGAACAGAAATAGATCATTAGATTGGCAAATTCACTTACAGGAAAATTGCAAAATAATAAAACTCTCATTGCTGTAGCTGATCCCTCAGTTTCACAGTACTGCTTTCCTCAACGCCTTTTTCTCACTCTTGTCCCCTGCTTCCTCCGAAACACTTGCTTATTTCTCCATCCAACCTCTCCCAAAAATCTTATCATTTAATTTCTTCCATCTGACACTTCTAATGTCAGACCATGACCTTCTACTGCAAAAACTCCAAGCTTTGGTTTCCTTGACTACTAAAACTGCCTCCCTACTTCTCACCTCCCCAAAATCCTGCAGTTTTCCTCCTTTAATTTCTTTGCTATTTTTTTTTTTGTCCCAGATTTTCAAGCATGTTATCCTTGCCTTCACAGTTGTTTGTATCTCTATCCCACCCACAATTATTCTTCTGTTTTTTCCTGTAACCTCTTTTCTTTCTGCACATTCAAGTGTCCCAAATATTCTTTATCATCTTCTGTGCTTCTCAGCTTCATGTCTCAGGCATGAATGCACAAAAATGCCCAAATAGTTTACTTTCATTTACTGTGGAATAGGGCAACTACAATGGATCAGCTGATTTAGGGAGTGGAAGCAGGTAACCATAGGCACAAACTAAGGCAGAAGGCAACAGCTGCCAAATTACCACAGGTTGGCTTCTACTTACCACAGAACAGAGTAGATGTACAAAAGAGCTGCAGCAGATCTACTAGAAACACCAAAAAGTCCTCCCCACCCTTCCAGCTGGGGAAGGGGAGGATCAGAAGATAGAACAATAGAGTGCATTAAAAGAATAGTTGCTTCAATAGAAAACACCTGTTAGAGCTTTTTTAAGACAGAAATTTAACTACGTTTACATAAATGTAATATTGTAGAATCCTTTTGGAAGATGTAGGACTGTCCTTTTTCCTTAAATAAATAAATAAATAAAAATTTTCATGTCCCAGGTCAAATTAGCCAGATCAGGTCCCAATCCGTTTGAATCATTCAAGAATCATGTGTGGCCCTGCTACTGGCAAGTATTCTCCACCCCAGCCTGGGGCTTCAGATGTTTCCTGATCCTTTGGCAGGCATCCTACATGCAGGCCCAAGCCCAGAGACTCTGAAGGGAGAGGATAAAGTAACTTGGGATGTGACATGGAAACAAGCATTAAGGATAACTTTGCAGGGGCACCTTAAAATTCTGAGATCTGCTGATGCAGGCAATAGCAATGGGGTGGGAAAGGACTCATTCTGATGCCAGGCTGAGGCCAGCTTCTGTTGACAAGGTCTGGATTGCACCTGGGAGATGCACAAAGAAGCTTTGCAAGTTCTGGAAAAGGAAAGTGAAAGGGTCAATTCTGCTGTCTCAACTGTCTCATTGGTAGCAGTGCAGGGACAACTGTCAGTCAGCTACATATATTTATTATAAATTGTTGCTATGCAAAGGTTCCATTTAGTAAAATCTCTTTGGTAAACTGGTCTTCCTAACACCCTCCCCCGACCAATGCATACATTGTAATATCAGATAATGCCACTGTATGTGTAGCTCGCTTTCTAATACAGTATTACATTGGTGGCTGTATTTTTTAGCCAAATAACCTAGTCTGGCCTTTCCGAGTGACTCATAATTCATGATCTTGAAATCTGGATGTTATGACAGGTAGGGGAGTGAAGCAGGGTTCCCCAGTACTTCATGCACATCTTTTGTTGTTATACATTGTTGTATAATGGCATCAACTCTGTGTTCGCAGATCAAAAGAGATGACCTCTGTCCCAGACAGTTGTAGAAAGTCACAGCTAACACCAGACCAGGCTGGTAAATGCACTGTTTAATTTGTGATCATCTCTATGCTTCAGCATGTGTAATATCTATCCATGGTGTGGTAGGTGATTAGATGCGGAGCTTCTCTCTCCTGTTGTCTTCCTCACCTTCATCTGCCTCCTGATTCATGGTTGCCTCTTCTGTTCGATCTTCTCTCTCACTAAAAAAGTTATTCAGGGGAAGAGATGTTAGTTGGTCTTGATTAACTTCTCATTTCAAGATATTTTGCTGCTGAAGACAGGCAATTTTAGTACCCATCTGGGAATGCCCTAAGGCAGAAGCAGGCAATTATTTCGGGCAGAGGGCTGCTTACCCAATTTTGGCAAGCTGTCGAGGGCTGCGTGGGTAGTCCTGCCCCTTGACAGGTGCCCCACCCCCTGGTCACCATCTTGGGACCAGTGTCCCAGGGCCAGCACCGGTGGGGCCCAAAGCGGGGTACAGGCTGGCAGGGGTCTGTGGAGCTGGGCTGGGCTGCACCAGCAG